GGACCTGGGGCTGTATACCACCGTAGCCCAAGGGTGGCTCCGCTCCTGGTTGTACAGTTCTAGAAGTTATACAGTTTAAAATAAACTTGAGAGCATGGTTCTAAAAATCAAACCGGTCATCGAACCATTAAAGTTATTGGTTCAATAGTTCACTGGTTAGACTAGTGGTCGAACCGATTTAATTAATATATACTTTTTTTACTTTATTTTTATAATATATAATTGTATATATTTTATTCATTATTTTATAAAGTATGACAATGTTGATTAATGTTTTTTTTATTATATTTTTTATATTTAAAATTTTAATCTATATTCAAATTACAAGACAGAGAGAATGGAAACAACCTATTTTATTTTAAATCACATTTTAAATTTTCTATTATTAATTAAAAAATAAAAAAAAATAATGTAAAACAACCAACAACAGTTTGTTTATTTCTTTTTAAATAAATTGTGAATAAATATAGCCCAATAGATAGTTCAATTTCAAAAAGAGTACATTTTTTTTAGGGTCAAAATCTTTTTTACCCCGTTATATATCTATTGTTTCTTTTACACACCACCCCCTCAAATAACTTATTTTACACCCCAAAATTCACGAAATGTTATGCGATATTACACTCGCATGTCCAAATGAACCAGCGCATTCCAATCGGCCGCATATTTTATGACTATGCGTAAACATTTCGCATTTTTTTAATCGCATACCCACATCAAACGCATAATTTACAAATGTGTGAACATCTTTCGCATTTTTAATAATCGCATATACAAATCGAATGCAGCATAATTTACGATGATTATGCGCCTTCTTTTCGCAGGGCTATATCAACCTTGCAAATTTATGACTGCGAAAATATTTCTCATTTAATTCGCATAATTTGTTGAATACGCATTTTCTGGTAATTGCATATCCAAGTCAATCGCATAATTTACTAATATGCGAAAAAATTCCGCATATATCCTCCGGATAATTGACAATTATGCGACATTTTTTCGCTCGCATATTTAAGAATCACATAACCAAATCGAAGCATAATTTTTTTTTGATGATTATGCGCCATTTTTTCGCAGGGCCATATCGACCTGGAAATTTTACGACTATTCAGAATTCGTACGCAGGTCTTTCGCATAAGTTGCGCACCTCATTAATTGACTGCTTTTTCACAGGTGAGGATTTGGTCTCTGCATTTATCATGCAGGCAAAAAAACCGTGATCTCTAACAATTTAACGTCTGCACCATTCATCTACTACATTTTTCTGTTTTCTTTTTTTTTTTTAATTCTTTTTGTTGTTCACTTATTTGAATGACTAGCAATCGTGTTAGAGTATTTGTGTACTTTGGTGGTTCGTTTTGCAAGGTTTCATGTCTTGGTGGAGTGGCAGAGCTGATGAGAATAAATTACGGCCGACAATTGTATTTTGAAGTAGTTTCTCGTGCTCAAGCATTATTGAAGGCCGATCCTTGTAATTTTGAGTACATATTGTGGGTAGTATTTGATGGAAGGGAACGAGTTGTGAAGATGAAAATCGAATCCAGTGAGGATATCTTAGAGCTGATTGAAGAACAAAGAAATCTCAACATTTACGTGGTGTTGGAGAAGCGAGTAAATGTAGGGATTCTGGGGACGGCGCAACAAAGCTTCACGCAAATGATGGCGTCCCAAGGTGTATTTCCGAGTTCTTTTGGTGTTGGTAGTTCTGCATTTTACCACAAGGCCCCATATTCACATCAAGCAGACCCTAGTTCATTTACACATACTGGATATCCTTGGGGCCCTGATGATCAAACCACGGGTTGTTCGAACCAACCGGTCATTCTCGTGACGATGACAATAATGATGACCAAACCAACACGCACAATGATGATTCAGGCGAAGAAGACAAAGAGGTCAATGAGAAGCAAATGTTCGTAATCCAGGTACAATTGTCGAAATCGGAATTGGGTTGACCTGCGCACGTGTCCCATAATAATCACACAATTGAGTTAATTGCACGATTCGCATAACATGTCCCATAATAATCGCACAATTAGGTTGATTGTGCGATTCGCATAATATGTCCCATAATAATCGCACAATTAGGTTGATTGTGCGATTCACATAACATGTCCCATAATAATCGCACAATTGGGTTGAATGTGCGATTCCCATATCATATCCCATAATAATCGCACAACTGCGACGATTCGCCTAGTCTTCAACGATATAATTAACAAATCGTATATCGAAATCGAAAGCCACATAATTTACGACTATCTGCCATTTTTTTCACATATCCATATGGACTGCATTGATTGATTGTCTGCACCGCATATCACGATCGAAAGTGCTTCGCATATTATTCGCATACGTTACGCACCGCATTGATTGATTGTCTGAACTGCATATCCAAATAAAAAATGCTTCGCATATTGTTTGCATAAGTTACGAACCGCGTTGATTGATTGTCTGCCTTTACACCTAAAAAACAATGAAGGTTTGCTTTTACACCTAAAAAACAATGACGATTTGCATGCTTCCTCATTTAGTTGTTGAGTTGATGTATATCTACCTAGCCTTAAATGCTATATGTATTTATTAACCTTTCATT